ATTTGCCTTCCATATAATGATTCAGTAGTATATTAACCCTTTGAATGCCATTATATTTCCCGAGAAAATGTTAGTGCAAATTTATACATTATTTGATATATCTAGACCAAATGTAAATTGTTCCTTTTGGCTAGAGGTTTTAATGAAAATTCTTTTGAAAAAGTAATGTTGCTTTTATTATGTTAGAGGTGAAAAAAGTTGACACTCAAAATATATGCATGTACCTATGTATATAAATGACAAATAAAAGCATTGTTTTACCTTGCCTTTCATAGAATTCTGCCATGATTCTTTCACTCATACATAGGATTGAATTCAGGTCAACTGGTATAATTTCCTTGGTTCTAATTGTGTCCAATGACGTTCGTCCTTCTGTTAACCATCTAGATGAAAAATCCCACCCACTTTCACATGCTGATGCTAGATTAGAATAAAGCTCAGGCCTTCGCAGCTGTAAACATAAACAAATATGATATTAGGTGAACCAAATTGACAAACGACGATATGAGATCAACCAAATTGAAAAAAAAACACAGTAGAAGAAACAATTGGACTAAAACATAATATGAGAAGAAGCAAATTGAAAAAAATAAATAATATAAGATGAACCAAAGTGAAAACAAAATCATATGAGGTGAATCAAATTGGAAAAAAATAATATGAGATGAACCAAATTGAAAAAAAAAACACATAATATGTGAGGAATCAAATTGAAAAAAAAACATAGTATGAGATGAACCAAATTGAAAAAAACAAAACAGAATATGATGTGAGATGGACCAAATTAAAAAAAACAACAACATAATATGAGAAGAACCAAATTGGAAAAAAAACATAATATGAGAAGAACCAAATTGAAAAAAAAAGAACCAAATTCACTATTTATGATACTCGTGCAGGTTGGGAAAACCGTAAAAACGACGTCATGACAGAGACTTGTTTGACTATCTCAGTTACTTGTCCGATGTACACTATGATTTACTCAAATACGATATTTAATAATGACTTTGAATGATAATGTAGCAGTATGCTTTGGTTTGTTGGTAAGTAGTATACTAGTCCGTTGCTGGGTTGTTTATTTGTACATTTGTTTTGTGTTTTCGAGATATCATTTATGTATGATGTTATTTATACCATCCTAGATATAATGAATTTTCATCTAGATTAAAGTAATAATGTAAATTATTACGTATGTACTGCAGTTTATTTTGATTCGTCCCTGAA